AAAATCATTCATATTTTCTTTCTCAAAAAATCAAACTCAGATAAAATTTTGATTTATCAAATACTTAATCATATTTTGTTGAAATAAGTGCAGAAATTTTGTACAAGGTATATAATAATATTCTATAAGTAAACAGGACAATAATTTGTTTAAGAACGTTCACATGTACCAGCAAAGTGCATCAAGTGCATTTTTATGGTTGAGCTAAATACCAAGAAGCCAGGAGGTTTAAAACAACGTACGTGTACATATGGATATGCCACATGATTTCCATATTCATATATTTTATTAGGTATCGGATGTGAAGGCTACATATGTTTGCTGTACCGTGGTACTACCTCAGCGGTGTTGTGTTGAACATGTCGTCCATGACGGATAACAAACTTGGGATTTCAGTTAATTTTACTGACAGTATCACGGATTTAGGCATGACTTATACCTGCTGTGATGGCAAACGACCTGAGAGCTATATTTACCTATGATTTCCTGTATTTAGGCAGGAAAAATGTTTGCAATAAATGGCAACCCTATAACCTATTATGAAATCAAACCAACCACAGAAATTTACTCTTAATCCTTAAATTGTTATCTGGACGCAAATGTAAGCGAAAGAAATGTTTGACCCAGGGGAACTCGGACTTGAGTGTTGGATGAATATGTTTTCATTTTCATGCTTAAATGAAATCTTATATTACACCTTTGTTTTCGAAGCAAAATGAGACATTTGCTAATGTAGTCAAATTTCAGCAGTAATCCTTCGGTTAAATATATCACATCTTTAGGAAGTAGAAAACGACTAGCTAATGAACGCTACAAATTCAAGACACTGGTACATGTATGTGTATCCTAACAATACATTTGTATGTAGATGTATGTAACACAGTGACTCAGTACAATACATTTGTATGTACATGTATATAACACAGTGAATCAGTACAATACATTTGTATGTACATGTATATAACACAGTGAATCAGTACAATACATTTGTACATGTATATAACACAGTGAATCAGTAAAATACATTTGTACATGTATATAACACAGTGAATCTGTACAATACATTTGTACATGTATATAACACAGTGAGTCAGTACAATACATTTGTACATGTATATAACACAGTGAATCTGTACAATACATTTGTATGTACATGTATATAACACAGTGAGTCAGTACAATACATTTGTACATGTATATAACACAGTGAATCAGTACAATACATTTGTACATGTATATAACACAGTGAGTCAGTACAATACATTTGTACATGTATATAACACAGTGAATCAGTACAATACATTTGTACATGTATATAACACCGTGAATCTGTACAATACATTTGTACATGTATATAACACAGTGAGTCAGTACAATACATTTGTACATGTATATAACACAGTGAATCAGTACAATACATTTGTACATGTATATAACACAGTGAATCAGTACAATACATTTGTACATGTATATAACACAGTGAATCTGTACAATACATTTGTACATGTATATAACACAGTGAATCTGTACAATACATTTGTACATGTATATAACACCGTGAATCTGTACAATACATTTGTACATGTATATAACACAGTGAATCTGTACAATACATTTGTACATGTATATAACACCGTGAATCTGTACAATACATTTGTACATGTATATAACACAGTGACTCAGTACAATACATTTGTACATGTATATAACACAGTGAGTCAGTACAACACATTTGTACATGTATATAACACCGTGAATCAGTACAACACATTTGTACATGTATATAACACAGTGAGTCAGTACAATACATTTGTACATGTATATAACACAGTGAGTCAGTACAATACATTTGTACATGTATATAACACAGTGAGTCAGTACAACACATTTGTACATGTATATAACACCGTGAATCTGTACAATACATTTGTACATGTATATAACACAGTGAGTCAGTACAATACATTTGTACATGTATATAACACAGTGTATATAACACAGTGAATCAGTACAATACATTTGTACATGTATATAACACAGTGAATCAGTACAATACATTTGTACATGTATATAACACAGTGAGTCAGTACAATACATTTGTACATGTATATAACAGAGTGAGTCAGTACAATACATTTGTACATGTATATAACACAGTGAATCAGTACAATACATTTGTACATGTATATAACACAGTGAATCAGTACAATACATTTGTACATGTATATAACACAGTGAATCTGTACAATACATTTGTACATGTATATAACACAGTGAGTCAGTACAATACATTTGTACATGTATATAACACAGTGAGTCAGTACAATACATTTGTACATGTATATAACACCGTGAATCAGTACAACACATTTGTACATGTCTATAACACAGTGAATCAGTACAACACATTTGTACATGTATATAACACAGTGAATCTGTACAATACATTTGTACATGATTTTGTACTAAGTATGAAATAGCTTTTTATTAAGCTTTTTGCTTTAGACAAATCGACTCAAGAGATTGATTTAGTAAGAATCCACGAGTAGTCTCCCTTTAATACAGTATTGCAGTCGTCAATATATTATGAAAGAAACATATCTAAACTCTCGGTTATGCCCTTTACTTTTCTTTGCAAAATCACAATAGTTCACAGGTAACCTTGATATTGTTATGCTATTTCATTTAGAGAACATATCATTCCACTTGGTGGTGAACGAAACCGAAATTACCCCAATATCAATCATCATAAAGATCACTAATAAAGCTGATATCATTTCGATATATCAATGCATACTTATGCCACAGGTCATAGATAAACATGGGATATTCAGAACTGCTTATGAAGTGTTATTTAAGTCATTGAACGCATAAAAGTAAAATTAATTGTCACCTTTAAACGCGATGGTGACATGATCGGCTTCGCTTTCTGTGAATTATGTGTTAAATCCCTTTGTTGTGATATCTTGAAAATTTATTCTAACGCTTTTTTGATCAACTTTGAAAGAAAGTTTAATTAATACTATTGATATCAATATTCCATATTCCAGATTCTGAAAAAGAATGTGGCCTTATTCTTTTCTATTCGTTTCCTTTCCCTTAAAAATCAATCATAGTCATCTCTGTTTTCGTATATAGTTACAATAAATTATGGTAAAATTGCAGTCAGAGACATTTCGCAAGGAAAACACTTTTTTCACTGTTATTTTAAAGTCTTCGTAGATAATTTTCTTTAGCAATAAGAATACGTGTACTTATTTGTCTTCTTCCTCAGTCGTTTATCTCGATCTTTCCACAAAGCTGTATAATTGTTAATTTTCCATTTCTGGATAGCAACAGTCCTGCAACACCTAACTATGGTGTTTACATGTCGCAGTTGATTCGATATTCAAGGGCCTGTTCCTATCATCACAATTTTGCAAGAAGTCATCAACAGACGAACAAATCTTAACACTAGGTTTCAAAAGAAGCAGGTTGATGAAAATTATGTTTTACGGTCTTCATACCCATCTCTTTGAGAAATATTCTGTTTGTTTGTGTTTGATGCTTGTTAGTTTGCCTGTTGGTTCCGTTTTTTGTATACCCTATTCTCATTTGAGAACGTGACATTACTTACTTGGAATGACCAATGTTTACATGACAGGTGTCGTCGATGAAGCAGAAGCCACTTACTCTTCCGGAACACCTGGTCTTATTCTTCTTGTTGACATATTTTCTTGCTTGCTTTGTTTTAGTTTTCTCATTATTCTGGTTATACCGTAATCTTTTAAATAACTGTTTGCATCGATAGAAATCAAAAGGAAATTCGCTATTGGCGCTTGGGTCCTAACAACATAATTGGATCAGAGACTAATGTGGACTTGTTCTGGGTGACTGGATCTGACACACCATTATATCTTAAATGAAAACTCCAAAATCAATCGTTTTCATCAATAGATTTTCTCTAGTTGTAAAAATGTTACAAAGTACGTTTTCCTGTCAACAACTGCATGTCACTCCGTACAGAAATACAGTTTAAATGCAAGCTTGCATTCGGTCCCTTCATTCAAATACCAACCAGTTATTTAATCAAATCGTTAAAACACGTTTTCTGTAAGGTAATTCAAACTTTAAAAGTCTTACATTAAAATAAGAACCGATGATCTCGATTACAAATATGTATATTGTACATATATATGTTCTCAGTTTCACCTAGTAGTAATGTGGAGTAGACCAATCATGTCAATTATTAATGCAATATAACGATATTGTTTACAGAACTAATATGTATCAATGACACAGGAAAGAAAACAAATCACGCCACTACGAATAAGAATATCAAAACGATAAGAAAAACTCCGAAAATAACTTAACAAAAAAAAAAAAAAAACAAACAAACAAAAAAAGCAAAAACAAAAAAACGAGTGTTATTATCAATTCTCATATTCGCCAAATATTGGGTTAACTTGACACGCTGTTCCATCTCACGTAGTGTGAGGTGCTTTGGATACATGGATTTATCCTACCTTTTTAGAAATCCTCAATGAATTATCAGAGACTTTATGGAAATCTGCGAAGGTATCATGGCTTCAAGTCATCTTGTACCAATTTTTCTACCACAGAATCGTTACATATTGTTGTAGGAGATAGGAACAAGTGACCCGACTGGCTTTGGTGCTTCAGGTTCCTTGATAGCAGTATCTCTGGAATTCCTCCGTGTCCATTCCGAATGACTTTCGTGCTTCAAGTTCCTTAATAACATTATCTCTGTGATTCCTCCGTGTCCATTCCGAATGACTTTCGTGCTTCGGGTTCCTTGATAACAGTATATCTGTGATTCCTTCGTGTCCATTCCGAATTGCTTTCGTGCTTAGGGTTCCTTGACAACAGTACCTCTGTGATTCCTCCGTGTCAATTCCGAATGTCTTTGGTGCTTCAGGTTAATTGATAATAGTATCTCTGTGATTCCTCCGTGTTCATTACGAATGTATTTCGTGCTTCAGGTTAATTGATAACAGTACCTCTGTGATTCCTCCGTGTCCATTCCGAATGGCTTTGGTGCTTCAAGTTCCTTGATAACAGTATATCTGTGATTCCTTCGTGTCCATTCCGAATTGCTTTCGTGCTTCGGGTTCCTTGACAACAGTACCTCTGTGATTCCTCCGTGTCCATTCTGAATGTCTTTGGTGCTTCAAGTTCATTGATAACAGTACCTCTGTGATTCCTCCGTGTCCATTCCGAATGTCTTTGGTGCTTCGGGTTCCTTGATAACAGTACCTCTGTGATTCCTCCGTGTCCATTCCGAATGACTTTCGTGCTTCGGGTTCCTTGATAACAGTATATCTTTGATTCCTCCGTGTCCATTCCGAATGGCTTTCGTGCTTCGGGTTCCTTGATAACAGTATATCTTTGATTCCTCCGTGTCCATTCCGAATTGCTTTCGTGCTTCGGGTTCTTTGATAACATTATCTCTGGAATTCCTCCGTGTCCATTCTGAACGTCTTTCGTGCTTCAGGTTCCTTGATAGCAGTATTTCCGGGATACTTCCGTGTCCATCCCCATCCTGATGGACTGCTGTGATCACGTATGGACTAAACACTCCTTAAGTGTGAGTAGTGTATTTAGGTTTATCTTTCCTTTCAAGATTCAAGAAACTTTATTTAGTGTCGCATATATATGTAATAGAGACAATATTAGCGCTGTATCGCTATTTCTGCGACAAACAACATAAAAAAGCAGAACATGACAAGTAAACAAATGGGACAAAAGAATTAGAGACATATATCACAGGAAGCAGACTAGCATGCAAAATTAGCAAAACATAAGTCTGACAAGATAACTCAGCAGTATATAATAGTTATGACAGAGAGAAGAACAATAAAAGTGAGGTTTACGGAACATAATATAGAAAACTAGAATATCACTCAAGTATTTCTACATATATATACTCAACAAAAAAGAAAGGTTAACATGTTTCCTTGGCGAATACCTGTAAATGAGTGAAAACAAAATGACGTTTGTGCAATATTAGAAAATGGTAATGTTTTACATTACAAAATCCAAGGGGGTTACCAAAATCATTCAAGCGTGAAAGTCTGTATTAGCGAAAGAGCTGCACGAGGTTTTCTGCGACTAACTTGTATCTTCGCTTGAATTTCATAAACATTCAAACTGACAACTGTTCCTTAGATCCTTAGGACTTAGAAATAACCGAATTTTGCTATATATCAACTTTATCATTATGCCCCGGCTGTCACAAACACAGAGAGAAAGGGCTGTAGGCATGATCCAGGCTGGGGAGTCTCGCCGTCGAGTTGCACGGCATTTTGGTTGCAGTGTTAAGACAATATGCCAGTTGGTAAGTCGTTAAAACCAAACTGGGTCAACATCCGATCATCCCCGAAGCGGCCGACCTCGTAAAATGACCGCCAGGGATGACCGTCGTATACGATTGATACACTTGCGCAATCGATTCGTAATCGCAGTAGAGACTACAAGGACATTGTTTGGGCGTCGTGTGTCTCCCCAAACAGTCCGCAACAGGTTGAGGGCCTACCAATTGAAAGCGCGGCGTCCCTTCACTGGACCCAATTTGTTGCGACGTCACCGTAATAATCGGCGTAACTGGACCCGTGTTCACCATCGTTGGGCCCTACAACAATGGAACAATGTTCTGTTTTCAGATGAGTCCAGGTTTTGTCTGCAACACGGTGACGGAAGGCGCAGAGTGTGGAGGCGAGAGGGGAGCATTTTGCGAACTGCTGCGTCGCAGAACGGGACCGCTTTGGCGGCGGAAGTGTAATGGTTTGGGGTGGTATTTGTGGAGGGACTCGTACCAGGCTTGTTGTGTTAATTTAACCGGCATTCGATATAGGAACGAAATTTTTAGACCAGTGGTTCTGCCATTCTTAAGACGCCATGGCGTTGGCGCCATTTTTCAACAGGATAACGCACCAGAATAACGTACAGGTGTTAGATTGGCCATCTAAATAACCTGATTTGTCACCAATTGAGCATGTCTGGGACGTTCTTGGGCGACGCGTGAGAGAACGTCAAAATCAGCCTTAAAACTTGCAGGAGCTGGCCCAAGCCTTGATCGCTGAATGGAACAACATCTCTCCTCGAATTATCCGCCGGTTAACGAGTTCCATGCGACGACGCTGCAATGCCGTCTAAGGTGTTACCTATATTGTCAGCGACATGTACAAAGTAGTTATTAAATTGTAAGCTTCTTTCTGGTCTGAGATGATCTTGTTATTATGACATAGAACTGTTTAAGTTGTGCTGGACTTGTTCTTATTGGACAAGAAAGGCATGATCGTAGTCCAAAAGTCTTTTGATTTAGCATCACCAGCACATCTCTCAAAGAAATAGTTACGAATGGATTTCCTTCGTAACTTAACAACCAAGTTTCTTTGTTTACGGTAATTGTTCCAATTTACAGAACTCCTACATGACCTATATTTGTTCAGCAGCATACGCTTTCTAAGAGCAGCTTTGCGAAGTTCACTATTAAAATAAGGTGGTTTTAAAAGTTTGGGCTTTCTCTCAACAATAGGGATATGGGCATCAATGACGTCGTGCATCAGATACTCATGCGCCCAATAAACATCATCCATATCATCAAAATAAATGACGCATAAAAAGGTGTAAATTAAAAGCATTCTCGTCAAAATTCTTAAAACTTCTGAACTTGACCTTTTGTTGTCTGACTTTAGGAACATCACCCTTAATGACTGTACCAATGATATTATGCCAGTCGCTAGTACCTGAACTAAAATTTAGAGTATTAAAACAAAAATCGGGGCTATTGGTGAGAATAACATCAACAAGAGAGGGTGTAAAGTTTTTGACAAAGCATGTTGCAGACGTAACAAGATTCCTAAGGTCAAAAATATCACACAAATCAAAAATGGGTCTACCCTTAGTTGGGTGTAAGACATCACAATTTAGATCACCTATAATTAAAAAATAATCGAACTTGGTTGATACCTTGTATAGACCTACTGTCATACTATCAATAAAGTCGTTGTCCCTAATGGACGGTGGTTTGTAGGATCCAACAAAGGCCCATTTCCTGTTCATTACAGAACACTCAATCACAAGAGTTTCAGTATCCTTAAATTCTAAGTCGGCCCTCCGCTGGGCTGGCAGGTCTGACCTGACGTATGCAAGAAGACCCCCTCCATGCGCATTCCTATCTCTGCGGAAGGATCACTCACTGCTCTTTACACTTTCGGATCACCCAATATCGTTTGTCATCCCTGGAATATCACAATTCGTTTCAAGAGCCGAATTTTATAGATTGAATATCATATACATCACACTCGTGTTGTAACTGGCCATCCAATGTCGGTCAAATTGGTCTCCGGAACGGGTCTGTATCGGAAATAAAAACAATATCATACTAACTATATCGCATTCCGGAAGAACGAAGAAATTGAATGGTCATATTATAGTTGACATGATTTTGATGTAAGTACATATCGTGTACGTCCACGCATTCATTTTGATGCTATACTGAATATTATTACTATTATTTTTTTTTAATTAATTGATATTTTTTTTATAACTTATCTTTTTCTTATTCAGTACAATGTACAATCGATACATGAATAAAATAAACATATTCTTACAGACACACCCACAAGAACACACTTATATATTCAGACTGAGACTTTACATATACAAATGTATACCCATCTGTATTTACGCTCCTTCACACATATGTACATGCATGCATATACATTTGTAGACATATGTATCGTACAAGCATTTAAATATACACCATTGTATACATACAAACAGTATACAACATACACATTATATCATTATATACTCATTTACATTCTTACTCATGTGCACTAACTAACTTAAACATGCGCTCAAACTTATGTTATTATGCATGCTACAAACTGACATGCACGCATAAATATACATACACTATATATACATAAGCATATACATGTTCATATACTAACAAACAGACCTTACTTACATGTACGCATAAACATACATACACTATATATATATTAGCAAGTACATTGTATGTATACTAACAAACAGACTTTACTTACATGTACGCATAAACATACATACACTATATATATATTAGCAAGTACATTGTATGTATACTAACAAACAGACTTTACTTACATGTACGCATAAACATACATACACTATATATATATTAGCAAGTACATTGTATGTATACTAACAAACAGACCTTACTTACATGTACGCATAAACATACATACACTATATATATATTAGCAAGTACATTGTATGTATACTAACAAACAGACTTTACTTACATGTACGCATAAACATACATACACTATATATATATTAGCAAGTACATTGTATGTATACTAACAAACAGACTTTACTTACATGTACGCATAAACATACATACACTATATATATATTAGCAAGTACATTGTATGTATACTAACAAACAGACTTTACTTACATGTACGCTTAAGCATACATACACTATATATATATTAGCAAGTACATTGTATGTATACTAACAAACAGACTTTACTTACATGTACGCATAAACATACATACACTATATATATATTAGCAAGTACATTGTATGTATACTAACAAACAGACCTTACTTACATGTACGCTTAAGCATACATGCAAAATGTACACTATATATATATTAGCACGTACATGTTCGTATACTAACAAACAGACTTTACTTACATGTACGCACAAGCATACATACACTATATATATATTAGCAAGTACATTGTATGTATACTAACAAACAGACTTTACTTACACGTACGCATAAACATACATACACTATATATATATTAGCACGTATATGTTTGTATACTAACAAACAGACATTATTTACATGTACGCACAAGCATACATACACTTTATATATATTAGCACGTATATGTTTGTATACTAACAAACAGACTTTATTTACATGTACGCACAAGCATACATACACTTTATATATATTAGCACGTATATGTTTGTATACTAACAAACAGACTTTATTTACATGTACGCACAAGCATACATACACTTTATATATATTAGCACGTATATGTTTGTATACTAACAAACAGACTTTATTTACATGTACGCACAAGCATACATACACTATATATATTGGCACGTACATTGTATGTATACTATCAAACAAACCTTCCATACCAACGTAAGATATCATACTGACAGCACACATATGTATTTGTATTCAAGTTCACATGCATGCAAACTTACAGACCAGCATAAATACATGTACATGGAGGCACCACCTGATTGTTATAAAGGTATATTCAACCTTGTAAACATGTGAATATATACACACAGGTATCACACCCATCTATCAATACACACTCAAGAGACATTGTACCTTTTTTTTTATGTAAGAATGAAAGAAACAGCGATAAGGGAAAGAAAAAAAAAGAAAGGGAGAGACTTCAGGAGAGAAAGCAGATTTGGGAGGAAAGAGAAAGGAGAAAAAAGTGGTTGGGTCAGATGATAAAACTTGAAGATTGATTATATATGTAAAATAAATTGTGAAAGGAGAGTAAAACAATTTCGGCTAATGAAGGATTTACATGTTTGTATACATATAGACATTTCAAAATAAAAGCACAAACATAAGTATGTAGCAGCTAGTAGAAATAGAAAACTAAGGTGCATATGAAAATTTAATTAAAGATTAATAAGCCTGTCCCATTTTTTCCATTCTTTTTCAAATTTAGATTTAACTGTGTCATCTTTACCATAGGCAACATACTTTTGAACTGTATAGTTATCTTTAATTGTATTTACAAGGGCATTTATATTAAGGGAGCTGTGCAGGCATCTCATTTTATAAATATATTGCTTAGTTATTATGATAATTTCATTGTCTACTCTATTGCTTGGAAGATTATTCCTAAGAATTAGCCCAAAAATGAAGGACTTTTTGTTCATTGAAAAAGGGATTAACAATGCATCTAATAGTATTTCAAAACTAGACAGTAATTTTTGTACCTCCTGACATTCCCATAATATGTGAGTAGTTATTTCTGTTTCAGAGTTACAGAGAACACACAAAGGGGAGATAACTACCCTTATTTTAAACAAGAATGAGTTAGTTGCTAAAATATGATGGACAACCCTGTACTGGAACCACTGAAGTTTTGTATTGTTCGTTACAATAAACGGTAATTTAAAAAAAATCTCCCATGTTGGTTTGTCTATATCATTAAATACTGTATTCCACCCGATGAATTTTGATGAGATTGGATCAAAATGTCATAGAACCTTTTAGAACCTTTTTTATCTCCAAGAACAAGTTCCAGGTTAATAGGAATGTGGGGATAACTTATTTTAGCTCATGAATATGTATATTATTAATGAGTTTCTTTAGCGACGAAATAAGACTGATATCTTAAAAAGTTTGTATGAACATGAAGTTTACGAGTAAATTCAGCAAACGTATAGAATGAGCCCGAGTTGTCATCATTAATCAGATCATTTATTACCACAATATTTTTCTCATAAAATTCTTTATAAAAAATAGTTCTTCCCCCTATCTTTATTTGACTGTTGTACCAAATAGGTACTCTCAATATCTGCTCATGAAAAACTTTGTCATAATACTTGATATTTAAAACATACCAGGAATTAAAGACATTTTTACATTTCTTACTACACATTTCAATATATTCACTACCACAATTTGCAAGAAGATCTGAGTTTATACAAGTTTTTAATATAAATTGCCATTTTTCATTATTGTGGAATAATCTTCGGATCCAAGTAAGTTTTAATGAGTGTATAAAGGCTGTCAGATTAACCATTTTGTGAATATTATTATTTATCCAAAACTCATATGAGTTCTAGATACAATTCACAAAAAGGTAAAGATTATTGACAGGAACATGTCATATATCTAGAGTTTAGTGCAGATGAACTCTGTAGAATCAGGTTTCCCATGTGTTTGTTTCCATCCAGTGCCATTTACTGTTGGTAAGTTGCAGAACTTTACAGTAGCACACAGCAATTTCCGTTATGTAAATGTTACTTTGTTGTGATAGATACATAGTTTGTGTTTATGCAGTACATCGGAATATACTATATTTCTCTTCTTATTTCTCCTTTGTTTCTATTTCCAAATCAAAAAACTGCGATTTCAATTACTAAAATTATAATGTTTGTTGAATTTTTTTTCTGTATCAATTTTTTCTCCGTTATGCATTGTAATTTACGGCAAGAAATGATACAAGCTGAACAAAATGTCTCTGGATCCTTTTTCACTGTTTTGAGTATTAAAAACTTTGTAAATGTTGCATCGCATGAAATAATATACACTGCATACTATCTAAATCTGCAGCACAGGACATGAAGAAGTGTTTTTGTTTAATATTCCTATGGTCTATTAGCTGTTGTATGGACTCTACCTTGGGTATTATTACATTATCTATACCCTGGTACGTCATGTTTGTTTATAGATAAATATTCGTACATGTTTAAATCAATATTGTTTTAATAAGAAATTGAAACTACTTCCACTTTTGTATATTTGAATACTGTTGGTAGTTGATTTAATGATTGAGGTTTTTAAGAAACATAAATACGATTATCTTGTATTGACCATATGATATCACGTTAAATGAGGATGAAGAAATAACTTAATGCAACATAACAATACTACAAGTTTGAGATATGTTTAACGTGCTGATTCAAAGTATTAACAAAAGTCTTTAAATCGAATTCTGTAAGTTCAAATGTTTAAAGAGATAGTACAATGAAGCTAGGAAAGATACATTTGGAACTCCTTAATAAAAACACATATTTATAAGAGTACAAACAATGTAGCCACGACCAAACCTATTAACTGACTTTTGACATTTCATTGTTACATCTTAACATTAAATGACTGATTCGCTTTTAAAGAAAATCCATGCATTTTGACCTGCTCTAAACAGATCTGTAAAATATTCTAAACCGTAATCTCTACACATCAGAAAAGGGAAGTATTAATTGATGTTGCAATACATGGGTATTTGAATAGGCTATATCTAAGATTTGCTTTCATGAGTGTATGTTGTTGTCAGTGGTAATCCCTTGGTATAAATAGATCTCGTATCGATTTTCTATTGGATACTTTCATGTTATCGCATTCGATTACGTCATGTCTATGGGAGAAAGAATAGACTGTATTCCCAGCAACTTACCAGGAAATTGATACTATTTTCACTTTCAGATATTTAAGCTTTTTTAGTTTTTGTTAATGTATGATGTACGATGTAATTACTCTCTATGCAATTAACATGGCTTTCCCTATTTCAGTCATTATCAGCTAGAAAGATTTTTATAAGCCATGTTATGGAAAATGAATAAATGAAAAACACCCTTTCATAATTCAGAGTAAGACACAGCAGAACCTAACAATGAATTAAACAGCATCATATGGCTGTTTCGTCCTTCTAGGTTTCGTCAGTGATGTCCAGGGTCTCAATTTTGAAGCCTATGAGGCGACTAAGTAAAATCCAAAGTGATCAAAAGAAAAGTCAAAATCTAGATGGGTAGATGCGTTTTAAGTTTGAGACTTTGATTGTCTCTATATGAAATTTCTTATTATTGTTATCGTTTTGATCGGCTCCGACTGAGACTGTAACATCATACAACGTTAGAAACAGAAATAAATTAGTTTAGAGTTTTGTCAACATTTTCTAAAATGTAGAACGGAAATAATATAAAATGTAGAACGGAAACAACATAAAATGTACAGTTTAGTACAAAATTGTCATGGATGACTTCGCAGTGAATTCACGTGTTATTTTCCAACAATAAAACAACACGGGTTAATAGCAAAACTTGACTTTATATAAAAGTTAAAGATATATTCAAATTTCTATTTGATGTATTTAGCTTTATAACATAATTGCTATATGAATTAATATGGAAATCATAGGCACGTTGTTAATAGTTCATCATCAAAATCTGAAACTCTTTGCAATTTTACACTGCCACATTACTGCTGTTTCTAAATTACAATATGGCCGTTAATTCGTATGAACCGTGATGTCTTCTAAATCATCAATCAAATTTAAATATTTTGAAAACTTATCATATTTACCATAGTTTTACAAACCATATCAATAAGATTTAGCAAGCAAATCATTCTAAACGTGTGTAATCAAAATAGGTATACATATCAAAATCAGCAAAGTAAATACAACAGCCAATATGATGAATAACAAGGCCTTGCGAGAACAGTCGCACTTAGATACGAATGTATCACTGTTTCCAGATGTTACAAGACCTAAAACACTTGAATTATGTCCCTGTTCAACATCACCAACGGATTCCGCCAAACTAATCACTGAGGCTCGAACCGTGGTATCACACGTGCATTGCTGGCCGTCCTCATCTCCATAAAAAACTGGGTTGACTTGTCCTTCTGTCGTATCATACTTTACGTAACATGGAGTACATTGGAGAGATGAACCTGTGTGTTCTGAGCACACTTCACTCTGCGAGGGTTCTAATTCATCAGAATGATCAGAGATACTTTTAATGTCTGTCAAAGATTCAGAAGAATCAGACAACTCCGGAATAGATGGTTTGAAGTCATCTTGTACCACTTTTTCTACTACAGATTCGTGACATATTGTTGTAGCAGGCACAGGAAACACAGGAGACCTGACAGGCTTTGGTGGTTCAGGTTCCTTGATTACAAGATTTTTGCGATTCCTCCGTGTCCATTCGCGCCCTCCAGGACTTCCCCGGACCCGAATAGACACACCCTGATTAAAGGTGGTGAATTTCGAAGGGTTGATATATCCTTCATATGCCGGAACACTGTCGATTATTCCAAGTTCTTCACATTTTCGGAACACCCAGAGTCGTCTGTTGTCCCCGCAGTACCACAATCCGTTATGTAAACTGACAGTTATGGTTGGGATGTCATTAACATGACATTTGTGAAGTAACAGCTCGTCCAATGTCTGTCCGATTGAAATTCCAGAATATCGCCCTTGTCCGAAATAATAGGCTACACTATCCTGAGAGTAACGAATTTCTGATGGACGTAGATATAAAATAGTCATTGTACAGTTTGGCTCTCACTGTTTGACTACATTGCATACTTGTTCAATAAATACTTTATCCCGATGTGCTATGATTTGATTGGTTAACAATTAGGTATTACCACTTTTATTCTGTTATATCAGTGGCTATTTATAAACCTGCATTACTTGGAAACCATAATGTTTCACTTTCGTTTCGTCTGCTGACAGAAATAGAATTAATATGAGAAAGAGAACGGGATGCACATGGAGAAGGCAGTTCATAATATTATCAGTTGTTAATGATACTGCTGTATGAAGGGTTAAGGAACCTTATCATCCTGTCTACAGATAAGAGAACATTTTCCACCATTGTCCACTCGGATCTATTTAGACAAAGCCTAATCACGGATTTGTTGTCGCAGAGTAATAGACTATATATAGGTGCGCTATTTATAGATATGATGTATATGAATTATGGTTTTATTGTAGGAGTACAGTGTGGTTATATACAAGGTGTAGTTGCATATAGAATTATCCATCGGCGGAACTGTTATTCTGATTCCTTAGGAGTAAAGTATTTATGCTACAAAAACACATACAGTAGTTGATTTTTTTTTTATCAAATTTGAGATAGACTATGGTTACAATAGGTAAATCTACACCAATTTACCTCAGTTATTCCTTGTGAAATCATACATTGAAATGGCCCATTTAATTTATTTCACATGATAACCTAACCCTAATATTTGCTTCTTTGGAACAGTAAATACAAATAGCATAGTTATTGAGTGATGAAAAACTTAATCATTCGAAATCAACAATACTTTATCAGTATTAGTGTGTAATGTGATTTCAGATTTAAAAGTCGCCCTTAATAGTTGATTCTATATTATCCTTCATGGATTGAATGACAGCCAATACACCGTTTTCTTAAACTACAATGCAAGTTAGCTTTTCGTATCACTTGATGTTATTTAAGACATAGCTGTATATTTGTTGATAATACGATTATGTTAAACACGTCAGACATTTCTAATTGCCATTTTGCTCTGCGTTTGAAAAGAGAACATTTATCTTTTAAGATACAAGTTTGAAAATGCCCGGATAGGTTCACTATATCATATCTTCATTAAGGGTCGGTCGATATATGTCATATGCTAGTTCACTTCCCCATCTAGTTTTTGACATTTTTTCTATCACTAGATTTTCCTCAGCCGCCTCTTATGTCTAAAATTAGGCTCTTAGCATTTTAGCAAAGACCAAAAAATTGTTGAAAATAGAAGAAAAAACAAGAAAATACCAACAAGTCAATATAATCATAATCCAAACTCAAATTCAATAAAACTAAGGCAAAATGCTAACAAAAGAAAGATGTACACGGAGACTCCAGAACGAATACAAGGAAGATATGAGGTGTCCCTGAAGAGTATGCGTCTTCTGCTTCTTCGACGACATCCGCAAATGTAAGTCTTGGTCAATCTAATTAAGTAATGTCACGTTCTCATATGAGAAAAAAAGGTGTACAACAACGGACACATTAGGCAAATAAACAAACAGCAAACACGTCAAGATTTCATATTGCACAAAGAATCAGAATATATCTCAATGAGGTCACTTTGACGACCATAACAATTCTCAATGGTTTTCGTCAATCAGCATGTGTTAAAATCCTAAGTGTTAAGAGTTTGTCCATCAGGACAATAATGGGAATAGGTCCTTTAAATATCGAATCAACGAAGACATGGAAAAAAGACCAAAGGTTGGGGATGCAGGCTTAGTATACAGCTTGGGGAAATCTGTCCACATTGTTTTCGGTGTAGGAAATTATATAAGCGGCTGATGTAGAAGAATCTACCGTATCCTTTATTTGAATTCTGGGTGGTATAAATGATGGACGTTGTCAATTAATTTCGTGTCATTTAAAGACAAGACATCGTCTATATACCTGCAATCTGCAACTGAAATTAAACGACTATGCATGGTCTTTGTGGCCTTTTTTGATGAGCCCTTCGATAAATTCAGTCTCATATGGAAACAAAACAAGTCAACCAACTAAGGGACATAGTTTGTTCTCATAGGTTTTACAGTGATCTTTTGGAAGATCTTCTGACCAAACTCGACGAAGATACTGTTTTTATGATTTCGTCCTCCGTAGTTGTCGATAAAGCTGAAGACTTCTTTCAGAACATCTTATTTTCCTTATGCTTTTTCCTATACCTTCATGAAAGATTGTTATATTTTGTCCTCTCTGTTTTTACCGATTTCAGTTTAATTTAAGATTGTTGTTGGGCACCTGTCCCAATATTCAATGTATTTCAGACATTTTAACAAAGAATGATCTCAAAAGAACGTCAAGAGAATACGTATACTCTGACAAGTACATCTAAAACATGGACGGTAGGTTACGACAAACCTCAGAGACTAATGCAGACCGGCTACCACGCTCAACCATAAAGACACAAGTCATCCCCTCCCATTACAACATGAAATGTAATATATATAAGTGAATGAAAATATGAAAATGAAACAATGATTTCCTAATCGCAATTTCATTTAATAATAAAAGTTACTCGTTGAAAACTGAAAGAGAGGATCTCCAGACAAGATAAACAAGATTTTAAAAAAGCTGGTTAAAGCGCATAACTCTTCAAAAAATCGAAACTAAACGCCACTGATGCAACCAGTGCTACATGTTTCGATAAATAGGCCTTAAATCAAGGGTACAAGTAAAATACATACCGTTTACAGAAATGTAGTTAATGTACGAGTAGTGTCCCCTTAACCATAATCTATCACAACACGTTGATAACATTCATGTTTTATTCAGATTATGTGATCTAGTTTTATGTTTTAATGGCAAAATCACACATTACTAAACATCCTCTATGTAAATTGATTAAGTCTGTTCTAATTGGTTTATGGAAGAAAACTATGTTTATACGTTATCTAGTCTTTCCAAAGACAATATGCTAGCTAGACTTACTTCCATATTACAATCATTCTGCTGACAATCCATATAAAGAAACCGTGTTACTTTTAGCTCGTCTAATTACTTAACTAAACTTTTATTTTCATCTCTGACTTTCCTACCATTCTCAGCTCACTCAAATCTTTGTTAAAGACTTACTTCGCATTCACTTAAAAAGTGCAAGATATAGAATTTAGATTCTGAAGAACTCCAGAATGCTTTTGACCAATCTTGGTCCGTTCCTCAAATATATTTTCTATAAGAGAGTTTGATTTTAGTTCACTTACCCAAAGACTTGATATGTAACTGTAGTGCAGAGTCCATCTCCCGTTGTCACATTGCTCAAACGACTCCCAAGCTTGACAAAATTGACTTTACTGACAAAGTTCTCTTTTTCAGCTGCTTGGTGAATATGCTTTAGACTGCCATATACCAACTCAGAATGAAGGAGTGCGCCATAACAAACGGTGCCTCATAGCTGATTTCATCGAGTAGTTCATCAAAGCAATTCATTTCGATCTTGTCGAGCACTTTATTTTCACTTTAAGACATACTGATGATATATGATATCTAAACAATAAGACATTTACTTTCTCTGACCTTCGTATACAACCACCAGAACTGAAAATCTTGAACACTAAGGGTCCATTTCTTTTACAGCAGTCATTTGCCTTAATTTTTCCCTGGACGTAATTAACATTAGCAACACTAGATATTAGAAAATAATGGCAGACTTCCCTTCTGACACATTGTCGTGACAAAGACCTAAATGGTCATTTAAGTAAACCATGTTTAAGCCTGTATATCGACAGTTACGTGTAGTTTGACCTGGGGGCTGTCCCCATATCACAGCTCAGTGGTGGAAATATAGGTTCCAAGACAATGCTTACCCTTACTCTTCGTAACATCAAGACAACTACTGCGGTACATAGTATGTCATTTTATAAATTTATTTAGGGTGCTGAAAAACAATATGTATTAACCGGCGACATACAGAAAACTCGAAAAGATGAAAGTCGTCCAATTTCCCAGTTAGGAGGCATATTACCCGTCTAGACTTTTTAAATTTTTTTAAATGTTGGCGTTGCGTCACTTTTAACGGAAGTCTTGGTGCAAGTTATAATTTCAGAATCGACTGCAGAAGGCATAAAATTTTAGTGTTTAATAAGTAACAGTTGGGTTTATTTTGCAATGAATATTTATCATAGTTTTAATAATCTGAACTTAACTTTCTTCTGATTAATATGAAGCTAAAAAACAAGAACAGAAGAGTGATGTTGATGCACGGACGTATGGCAGTACGCATGGATAAGCCAATGGATTTGAAATGACATTTAGAATTTCAATTCATCATTTGATCCAAATGACTTCAGTAACTACACTATATACTTTGTCAGACATTTTGTTTACGTCTGTATTAATTATGCAGTATCATGTGTTTACCTGTACTGAATAAGGAGTATTTGTAAGTCCTCTGATACCTGTCACATCGCTCCGTCTGCTATTTAACAATACAGGCTAAAAACCACATTAGCACAGTCTGTAAAAGTGATACCACGCCAACTCATTCCCGACATGGTACAGTAACACCACTAACAAACACTGGGGTCAAAGGTCAGGGCAAGCCTATGTAAAGCAGACAAAATTCAACGAAACCGGAAGAACATATTAAAGGAATCCATCTTTCACCCATGTGAGATCAAGAACCCAGAAGACTCTACAATCGTAAATTCTGAGGAACATTTATAGTGACACATCAAGGCAAGTGATGCATATATAAACTAATTCATGATACTTGTTCACAATATCATACTCTGGTGTACACTTTCTTCAAATTAGCTAAAACAACCATTTAAACCAATCACTTTAATAACCATTTATACTTACACTAGGATTGATTTTAACTGTAAACATGTCGTACAATCGATTTTGTCATGGACAATTCAGTAAGCAGGTAAAGTTATACACACATGCTTGTGGATAGCATTGGACTGACAGGTGAGAACTATGTTCTGCTCCGGGCTGTTTAAGTGATACGGCTTCCTAAACAAAAGCCTCACACATACCTACT